ACCAACTGTTCTCTAGGACAGAATCGACCTGGATGAAAGTCCCTGGGTAGGGAGTCCCCTGATTCTCAAGATACTGTGTCCCACAATCCTCTGAGCCCCTGATGTTTTAGGACGCTGCCCACTTTTGAATCCGCGTGCTGAGTGGGCGGGGAGAGGAGGGGAGTCACAGGCGCTGGAGGGTCCACTGGAAGGGGCTTTGGGGTCATTGTAGTTACGGCATTTGGCTGCTAACCAGAGGCTGTGATTCAAACCCACCAGCTGCTCCATGGGAGGCAGACCGGGCAGTCTACTTCCATAAAGATTACAGCCTTGAAAACTCTGGAGGTCTATGAGTCAACATTGATTCAATGGCAATCGGTTTGGTTTTAGAGGTTCCTTCGGTTTATAGCACCTCACCCAACACATTGTGGTGTACCGTTGGAGGCAGGGATTGAACTCAGTTATTTCCCCAGATAACACAGTTTCTTAGCCTCAACATTGCTGACAATGGATCCAGATCCTTCTCTGGGGCATCCTGTTTATTGTGGGGTATTGAGCAGCATCCCTGGCCTCCACCTAGTCAATGCTGGTAGCAGTCAGAATGGACCACAGAGGACAAGTGCGGTCTTGCCTCTCTTGGTTAAATAACCCAGGAAAACCCTGCATAGACCTCCCCCACTCTCCAGCCTTGCATTGTGCAGATCATGATAACAACCATGTCTGCATCCACGGTCCAAACAGGGCAGCACTGGGTGCTGGGTTCTCCAGCGCAGGCCCCCTTCTGATGAGAGGATTTAGGCCAAGAGCTGCATTTCTATGAAGGACCTACAACAACGGGTCTCTTGGTTGTGACCCACGCAGGGCTGTCCCCGGTGTATGAGTGTTCATTCCCACAAGTCTTTGGGAGTGCCACGGACATGCGTGGCCTCGACACAGTGGGGTCTAACACGGGCAGGGGAAACTACTCAGCCTCCCCGGTGCTCAGAGAAATCCAGGAGTGTCCCGCCCACTCTGCAGCAGAGGTGGCATTCACCTTGTCGTTCTGGGCTGCTCTGTTCTTGATCCTCCCAGTGCAGGGGCCTTCAGAGAGGCAGCCTGGCTGGAGACACAAGGGTCTTCCTCATGACTATCTGAATCGAGTTGGCAAATCATGGCCCGCCGCCCGTTTTTGTAAATAAAGTTTTATTGGCAGGTAGTCATTCTCCCTCACATACATATCATGGACTACTTTCTAATAAAGTTGAAGGGTTGCAACAGAGATTATCTGGCTTGCAAAGCTGGCAACATTCACCACCTGGCCCTTTACAGAAAGCGTTTGCTGACCCATGGAAGTCACTGCCAGGGAGGTGCCAGTTAGGGGCCTTACTCAGCTGCTTCTCAGAATCTGTTGTAAGGCATTATTCCCTGTAAAAGTTGTTGCAAGAACATGGAGTGCTGCGTTGTCAGTGAAGGCTAACATGGGTATATGGGTGGACAGATGGGTGGACAGATGTATGATTAGGTATGTCTATGAAATGGGGAGGGTATCCAAGAACATGTATAGGGTTGATAGACAATGGTCCTACAAGTTTATGTGAATGATCAGAATTCCCAGGTGTATAGACAAGGGGCAAGGTTGTGGTCACTGCTTGGTCACAGCCAGCTACCCAGAGAGACCAAGTAGTTGAACCTGTGGGCTTGGGACCATAGTCACAGGGAACATCAAGCTCAATTGGCATAACATAATATACACAACATTGTTCCACCTCCTACTTTGGCAAGCAGCGACTGGGATATTGCAAGCAGCCATCTGGATGCAATGATGGGTCTCTCCTCGTCCAGAGCGAAGAAGGATGAAGAAAACCAAAATTTATGGAAACAATTAGTCCTAGTGACTGATACATCATCTGATCTGCAGCCTATACGACTATGAGACCAGAAGAACTAGATGGTGCCCGGCTACCACTGTCATCCACTTGGAAGGGGATCTATGTAGGAGATCCTTGATGGAGAGGGAGAACAATGTGGAACAAAACTCAAAATCATTTGGAGGGAAAAAAAAAAAAAAGTGGGGACCAGGTTTGCTGGTCCGATAGAGCCTGATGGAACCACTGAGACTATGGCCCCTAGCTGCCCTTCGGGTCTGGAATTGAACCCACACCGGTGGTTTCCAGCCAAACAAAAGACAGGCATATGAGTTGAACATTTACATTAGGTAGATACACTCCTTGGAGAGATCAGTCATGGGAGAAGGAAGGGCAGTGTATGCACAGGGAGACAGCTCGGGCAGGAGTGCATGGAGGGAAGGACACAGGGAAGAGGTTACTATGGGGAGGAAGTGGGAGGGGAGCTGTTGCATTGTGGAAAATTGCAGTCAATGTCATGAGACAAAGTATATGTGAACTGCTGTATGGAAAGTGAATTTGCTCTGTAAATCTTCACCCAGATCACAATTTAAAAAAAAAAAAAATTTGCAAGATGTTCAGTACAGCGTAGTTTACCAATAAAGCAAAGCACCTGCTAAACATCCTAGAGTAGACAGCGGCTTTTAAAAAAATTTGCATGTGCTCGGTGAGAGCGGGGCAACATGGGGTCCCCCCAGAGTCTGAGTCAGAAGCCATACGGAAGGACAGTGGTCACAGCTTGCAAGCAGGGTGGGGATAGGAAAGACCCAACGTCCACGGTCGGGGTGTGATGCACTCGGCGGTGACCCAGGATGAATTCAGGTGAGAAAGTAGCTGTTAAAAATGACACGGTAGGATGCTGTCTTTCTGACAAACCTCTTCTTTTCTCCAGGCATCCAACCTAATGAACAACCCCCAGCTCCAGCAGCTGTAAGTGGCCGTCTATTCTCCTTTGCATCTGCTGGGGTCCATTGTTCACGTGGGGTCTCCCCCCCCCCGCACTGCTTTGGGGAGGTGTCCTGTGCACTGTAAGGTGTCGAACAGCATCCTTGGTCTCTACCCACTTGATGCCAGTATCCCCCTTACAGTTGTGACAAGCACAGACATCCGCAGACAGGGCCCACTGTCCCCTGGAGCAGAATGGCCTGGCTGAGAACCCGTAGGTGAGGGTCTTCCACTGACTGGTGTCACCATTCACTCCCTGCAGCATGTCTGGAATGATTTCGGGCAGCCACAACCCCCTGGGGACCCCCGGCACTAGCCCCTCTCAGAACGACCTGGCCAGCCTCATTCAGGCGTGAGTAGACCTGCTTGGAGGGGAGGGGGCGAGCCTGTCTGCTATGTGGTGGGTGGGGAGGAAGGGCAGTGGGCAAGATGCCGCCGCTCCCCCGCACCTGTCCTGACTGGACAGGAGCTCGGCACAGAGAGGGCCACTAGACAGCAGCCCGCACCAGCTGTTCATGGGGCTGGCTGCACGGACAGCCAGCGTCTGCCGGAGACGAGGGGGGAGGGCGTGGAAACCTGGGGAGAGGAGAGAGGAGGGGCACTGGCAGCTCACGGGGGCCTCCTGGCCAGAGGGCTCCCAGGGCGGTGGCAACTGGTCATTGGCGTCCAGGTGGTTCTGGCTCACATCAACCCCACATAACAGAGTAGCTGTCGTCTTTACTGGGGCAGATGCCAGGCCTTCCTCCCATGGAACCACTGGTGTGTTCAAACCACCAACCTTTCAGTTAGCGGCCCAGCACTTAACTACTGTGCTGACCAGGGCTTCTGGCAGCCTCTTAAGGTCCAGTTAACTGTGGGCTTTGTCTTACAGAGGGAAGCAGGCAGTGGGTGCACTCTATAGGCTCTGAGGGGGTAACCTCTTGCTCTGGGCAATTTTTAGGTACAGTTGGATGTGTAAACATTTGAGTTCAGTGCCGGTGGGCTTTTTGGGTAATAAACCACGGCTGGCTGTGAAGTGAGCCACCAGGGCCACACAGAGACCATGTCTGACGTATGTGTACAGCAGCATCGTTGACCCTGCGTTCTCAGTGAGGAATCAGAGCTGCCTGCTGGCCCGGGCTGGTTACAGAGCCAGAGTGGGACACGGAATATGTTCTTAGGGATATTTGCCGCATGGGGAGGCAAGCCAGCACAGAGCGGTGTGGCCTGCTGGCCGCCTCACGCCGACTCTGCCGTCCTCCGCAGGGGCCAGCAGTTTGCACAGCAGATGCAGCAGCAGAACCCGGAGTTGATAGAGCAGCTCAGGAGTCAGATCCGGAGTCGGACCCCCAGTGCCAGCAACGATGAGCAGCAGGAGTGACCTCCCAGTGAGTGGGCGGGCACGGGGCGGGCACTGGGGCGGGGGGGGCAGCAGTGACAGCCAGCAGGAGTGACCGCCCAGTGAGTGAGCGGGCACAGGGCGGGCACTGGGGCAGGGGGGGGCAGCAGTGACAGCCAGCAGGAGTGACCACCCAGCGAGTGAGCGGGCACGGGGCAGGCGGTGGGGGCAGCAGCAATGAGCAGCAGGAGTGACCGCCCAGCGAGTGAGCGGGCACGGGGCAGGTGACGGGGGGGGCAGCGAATAAGGGCTCCTTCCACAGTCCCCACCCAGCAGGTGTGGGGCCTCAGGTTATCGGAGCACTCCTTTCCTGGTGTCCCTCCCAGGCATCCCTCAGACTTGTTGCTGGCCCTGTCTCACCTCGGACGGGGGCCGCCACTGTGGATAATCAGAGCTGTGCATGCTGTACGGTCGAAGCCCCTTCTGGCAGAAGGGCAGCCGCAGAGCAGCTCCTCTGAGCCACCAAAGAGAAATGTTCCCTGGGCGGTGGGCCCCCCTTCACTCCCCATCTGACCTTTGGCCTGGGTTTGTGTGTTGACCTTGAGCAAGCATCTGCTCAGCGGCTGCCCTGGTTGCCTCAGCCTCAGGATGTCCCACCCGTGAAGGACGAGCTCCCTGCATCAGGCAGGGTGGCTTTCCTCCCCAGAGGGCGACATTCTGCCTTGGTCTCTGCAGTCTTTATTTCTGTCATCGCCCACACTCCCATCCGCAGTCTTTTTGTTTTTTTAATTGTGATTTGGGGCAAAGTTTACAGAGCAACTTGACTTTCCATACAACAGTTCACTTATACTTTGTCTCATGATAATGACTACAATTTCCCATGATGCAATAGCTCCCCTCCCACTTCCTTCCGATAGTTACCTGTGCACTCTTTTTTGAGGCGTTTGTTCATATGTTCAGTTGGAGAGACTCCGTAGGCTCCAGAGTCAGGTTGGCTGTAACCTGTATGGTGGCAACTCTCCGGACCAAGCTCCTCTGAGGTGCTGCTGGGTAGGTTTGAACAGGCAACCTCTGGGTTGCCAGCCGAGTGCAGACCATCTGCCACCCAGGGACCTTTTCTCCACCTTTTTTTTTTTTTTTTTACTTGCTGTTCTTTTTACAGAAAATGTATACAGGACAGAAACAAACCAAAGCAACCCTAATGTTTCTACCCAGAGTAATAGCTCTTAACACTTTGGACATTCTTTACTGACTGTGTTCTTGGTTTTTTAAACTCTTAACATAATACGCGGTCAGTTCTGCATCTTTTGCAATCTTCTACCCAGTCCATCCCGGCGTGTCAGTGTCTGCCCAGCAACAGAACTTTGGGTGATGATGCAGGCACCCTGTATTTTCACCTCCCAGTGCGGCAGCACCAGCCACGGTGGCCACTGAGACCCAAGACGTGGCCGTGGCAATGAGGTACTCAGGTTAACTTGGACACTTCCCGATCAGAGGGTCTTAAAAAAAACTGGTGCCCCCACGTGTGTCACTGGGGCTGAGCTCTGCAGGGCTTTCCTGTTGTTGAGAATATATGCAGTAGAATGTACCCAATTCCACAATTTCCCCAGGTAAAGTTCAGTGACGTTGATGCTGTTCTTTGAGTTACACAACCAGTGCCACCCTCCTTTTCTGAGTCGTTCCTCCCCATGAGCATGAACGCACTGCCCCCTAAGCTTCCTGTCTACACTTTCAAGTTTCTGTGGTCAGTTTGATCCCATAGAGATAGAACTTAAAAGAGCCCAGTGCTCAAGGAGGACCTCCCTTACTGATTAAGCTAGACTGTTCTTTGGTTGAAAGATGATTTCAGGGCACATTTTTAGCTTAACGTTTAAAGACTGACTCAGGGCAGTCATTGCAGGGGTTCATCCAACCTCCACGGCTCCAGAAAGTCTGGATTCCATGAGAATTTGAAATTCTGTTCTACACAGCCAGGCACCATCCGTTCCTTCTGCTCTCATGGCAGAGCAGGCAGTTGTTCGTGGAGGCACTTGGCTGCACATGTCACATCCTCCTGCTGTTGGTGACCTTGGTGGGGTTTCAGTGGCTGAGTTTTGGGAAGCACATCATCAGGCTTTTCTTCTGGGTGGACTTGAACCTCCAACCTTTTGGCTACTGACCAAGCACAGTAACCATCTGTACCTTTTCCCTCATTTCTGGAAGGTTCACTCTCGTTCTCCATTTCCTGCCAGCGTGACTGCCCACCTCTGTGCTGACTGCGTCTGTCTTCTGTCTGCAGCACCCTAGCGAGAATCATGTCTGTCCCTCCACAGACTGGACACCGCCTTGTGTTTTGCCGTTTTCCTCCAGCTGGACTTCCCAAGAGAGAAAAAAGAATTGGACCTGCATGTTCCAACGGATTTTTAAGTTCCTCCTCACCCCTTCTTTTCGTACACCTACTAGCCCCCAGATCCTTTTTCGGGGAAAAAAGAGCCAACCAGCTGTGAACACAAACCAGCATCCATCTGCCCCCTGGCCCCTAGAAAGCCCGGTCACTGAAGTATCCTCTAGAATCAAGGGGCTGGACGGTTGGTTCTCCGGCCACCTGCCAGAGCGGCAGGGTTTACGTTCAAAACACCACGGACGCCTGGGGCTTGGGAACTCTCAGCCCCCGCCCTGTCTCTTGGTCTTTTTTTAAGAACTTTGCCATCGTGATTAGAAACTGCCGTCCAGGTGCAAGCGTTGCAACCCATGCCACTCGGACCGTGCGTCTCTGCGTGAACGAGGGCGCGTTTTAGTTGTCGCTACCTGAGAGGCCAAGCCTGTCCCTCGAGCCTCTCAGAGTACCCAGGACCAGGTTCTGTGACTTTTCTTCCAGTCGAGCGTTTTGATGGACGTTTGTTTGCTCTCTTTCTCCAGTCCAGATGGCATACCACTGTTGACAGGGTCGTGGCCCTGGTGCCAGGCTCTGCTCCTCCGTTAGCCCCTGGACAGTGGGGGCCTGTCCTGGCTTCTCTGCACCCCGGCTCACTGTCCAGGCAGTGAGTTGGGCCCTAGGGCCCCAGGTCTGAGCATATGGGGGCCTCTGTGAGTTCGTGAGTTCGCCTTCTGTTCAAAGGGGCCGGCAGGCACCACCCCCTCGGCTGTGAGGTTGATGAGCAGCCACCCTGAGCTGCTTCCAGAAGAAGACACATCGTTGGCGAGCAGGGCAGCCGCCCAAACAGCTTGGCAGCACCCAGAGATAGGAAGGGGCTGCTGGCCGCTGCTGCACGCGCTCGGGGCAAGTCATGTTACCCCGCTCTGAGCAAAACAGTCGGAACAGGAGGCTGGGCTGGAGGCCTGGGGCTCCCCAGGGCAAGGTGTATGTTCTAGTAACAAGTAGGAAGGCAGCCACCGTCAGCCCCGTATTCACACACAGGCAAGACGTGGAGGAGCGTGACGTGTGGGAATAAATAGACGTGTGACCTTGACTCCTGTCTCAGTGTGGCCCTGTCAGCGGCACCGCACCCTTCCCTGCCCCAGAGTTCTGGAAAACCCGGCCTGGGGTCTCCAGGTCAGCCAGGCATACACAGGTTACAAGCCAATCATGTCGGTGTGTGAAACGGCACAGCTCCAATTGCTTCCTGTGGCAAAGTTCACTCACTCTTAAGCAGGGGCAGTGGGGCAGGTTGGTTACAGAGAGTAAAAGAGCCTTGTAAGGGGCCCTCCAGTGGTCTCTGACTCAGCAGTCCCACATACAGGTTGAATAAGTACGGTGAAAGGTTACGATCCTGATGCACTTCTTTCCTGATTTTAAACTACTCAGTGCCCCCTTCCTCTGTTTGAATGACAGTGTCTGTCTGTGTACAGGTTCTCATGAGCACAATTAAGTGTTCTGGAATTTCCGTTCTTCACAGTGTTACCCATGATTCGTTGTGACACACACAGTCAGAAATGCCTTTGCATAGTCAGTGAAACACACATAAAAATCTTTCTGGTATTCTTTGCTTTGAGCCAAGGTCCATCTGACATCAGCAATGATATCCCTTGTTTCACATCCTTTTCTGAATCCAACTTGGATTTCTGGAAGTTCTCTCTCAAGATATTGCTGCAACCATTTTTGAAATAGTTTCAGCAAATTTTGCTTGAGTGTGACATTAATGACTTTGATAGTGTCTACATTCTGTGGGCTCTCCTTTTGGAATGGGCACACATACAGTCCTCTCCCAGTCAGTTGTGCAGTAGCTGTCTTCCAGATCTCTTGGCATTAATGAGTAAACATCTCCAGTGCTGCATCCATTGGTTGAAACATCTCAATGGTATTCCGTCAATTTCTGGAGCCTTGTTTTTTGCCAATTCCTTCAGTGCAGATTGGATTTCTTCCTGCAGTACCATTAGTTCTTAGTTGTATGCCACCTTCTGAGATAGTTGGACTACAGCCAATTCTTTCTGGTACAGTGACTCTGTATTCCTTCCATCTTATTTTGATGCTTCCAGCATTGTTCAATATTTTGCCCATAGAATCCTTCAATATTACCACTCAAGGCTTGAATTTCTTCTTCAGTTCTTTCAGCTTGAGAAACACTGAGCATGTTCTTCCTTTTGGTTTTCTAACTCCAAGTCTTTGCACATTTCGTTATAATACTTTATTTTGTCGTCTTGAACTGCTGTTTGAAATCTTTTCAGCTCTTTTATTTCATCATTTCTTCTATTTGCTTTAGCTGCAGTCCTTTCAGGAGTGAGTTTCAGAGTCTCTTCTGATATCCATTTTGGATTTTTCTTCGTTTCTTGTCTTTTTAATGATATTTTGCTTGATGTCATCCCACAACTTGGCTGTTTTTTGGTCATTGCTGTTCAATGCGTCGAAACTGTTCTTCAGATGGTCTCTAAATTCAGGTGGGATATAATCAAAGGTGTATTTTGGTTCTCGTGGACTTGTTTTATTTGTCTTCAGCTTGAACTTGTATCTGAGCAGTTGATGGTCTGTTCCCACAGTCAGTTCCTGGCCTTGTTTTGACTGCAGATACTGAGCTTTTGCATCGCTTCTTCCACAGATGTAGTCAATTTGATTCCTGTGTATTCCAT